CCTTGAGGCATTTTATGGTGCCACATACTTCGATCATTATTTCCCATTGACTCTCAGTTTTGTGTAGTATCCAGCCAAATGTGCTTTTGAACATTTTCTGTGGACTTCACAGAAACATTTTCTTCACTCTTCTAAAATCACTGTAACTTAAAAACGCTTAGCAACTGTACAGATTAACTGATCCAAGAGCTCTGAGAGAGGACAGAGATGAATAGACAGTGGTGACCTGTGTGGTGATCAGACAGATTCCTATTCCAGATGTTTGTTCTTCTCTGCTAAATTTCAGCATGTCACAAATTCTCATGAAGCACACTTCCTCACTCACTGATTCAGTCTGCTAGTTCTGCGCCTAGAATCATAGCTATATAAAATGAGGACATTTTCTCAGTATAGACAAATGTTACAAGTGATAAATTCATTGCCGCATGCCCTTGGGGGGAATTTATATCTAAAATCATTAGCAGATGATAACAGAACGGCAATGCATACTATCTTGGACACAGGAACAGTAGTGAAAGAATGCTGTGATTGACCTGATTCATAGCAAATGTTACCACCACTATGAAGTAATTATAGGAGTTTCTTCTTACAGTAAACTGAAACTGCAACAGTTTGAGTCAGACCTTCTTTACAGACTGCAGATCTTTGTTTTTGTCCCATACCACCAAGTGACATTTGTTTGCTTCTTAAAATGTTTATGAGGATGATGCCAGAATGTGTTTTCCAAAGTCCCCAGGGAGTAAAGGACTGATTAGCACAGCACACTGCAAGCACGGGTAGCTGAACAGTGTTGTTTTGCCCTTGTCTTTTTTTTGTCGCACATTTTGTTCTTCTCCACAATATTCCAAACTCTTGGAGAGAATCAGATTTGTTTCCTTAAGGACTATTATTTAGGGTTTTTTATTCTGACATACCTTCTCTGCTTTCCAACCAACTGTTTGATTTGGCTCAGTTTAAATCAGAGGCCTGGAGCTTCCGCTTTATTTACACTGCAACATGACACGGTAAACATTAGAGTGTGTGTTTGTGTATCTGCCATTCTGTCGGCCCGTGTTGTGTGCTTGCCTGTGTGTGTGAAGCGAGAGTGTCAGAAGGATGTCTGGATATTGGGGTCAGGCTTGTGTGGGAAGATCAGTCAGGAAACCTCCCCCCTTTCCTCCATCCTGCAGGGAAAGAAAGAAAGAAAGCAAGGGGATATTTCACAAATGATTTTACTGAGGCACAGGGGTCATGTGTTTAGCACTATAGTCGGAGAACACTTCAATGAAACTGTCTTGGAGTTTAATTTCAGCTGTCCTGTTGTGTTATCATTTCATACCCTGGTTACTCTTGAAAATGGAATTCCCTTAATGAGAGGATCTGCTGTGCGATAGCGTCTTTTACTCTTTGAATAATAGCTGTGAGCATGAACATCTTTTATCTGTAGTTACAGTTCAAAGAACAGTTCTGTCATTAAGGAATCCAGTCTTAGGCTGAGAAGTTGGAGGTGTATTGAAAACAGATTTTCTAGACTGACAGAACATTTATTTCAGCGTTTACAGTCAAATAAACTTTATTTCACAACACTCCTGCCATTCCCAAGCCAAGAAATGTGGCTTTTATTTCAGAATTAATGTCATTTATTATTAATAAAGAAGCTGTGTGGTATGTAAAGAACATGCTGTAAGGAGTTAACACGATAAAGATTAGAAGCCCAGTGCCTTGGGTCAGTGGGGAACTTAGCACACTCACCATAGTCGCACACATTCAGTGCAGTCACAAAATATGACCCTGACACTTTTCCTGCTGTGTTAGCCTTTGCATTGTAGCATAACGGACTCAAAATGACTTATGAATCATGTTTGAAGTTCTGACTCACTTTCGATTTAGAGTGTTTTCATCCAGCTCAGATGAAACGTGGCAGAATTTCTGCACTTTTAAATAGTGTCCTCCATTGCTGAGAGAGTCAAAGTAAAACACAAGTTAACACATAGACACAAGTCATTATATTTAATATTTGGTTGCACCGCTTTTGCAGTCAGTGAATTCTGTGACCAACAGTGTCTTTCCTAATTATGGTCACCCAATCATGCCCTGCAGCCATTTTCTGTTCTTGTTGTTTTGGAGGCTTTTTCTTTCACTTTGGTCTTCAGTAAGCAACACACATACTTAGTTGAAGTGAGGTCAGGTGAAACACATGAACATTCCAGTCCTTGCTTGTCTTGGGTTTATGGTAAGGTTATTAAAAGGCCTCCAAGTTCTACACTATCTATTTTATAAGGATGAGGTGCCCATTGGGGAGCTCGCTACTGTCCAGAACTAACTAAAATATGCCCAGTGTGCAGAGGTACTCAGTGAAAATAGTGACATCCTCAAACCTTCTGACTCCACTTGATCAGGTGGTTCAAGGAATGGTGCTGATTGACAGGCTTACTAAGTGTTTGACTTTTCATCTTGGAGTTTTGCTTCTTTTTTTGTCTCGTGTTTTGGTTATACTTTGTCAGTGGCCTACCTTCTTGCCATTTTCCTACCACTTATCTTTAGTTAGAAGGCGATGGGCCATTTTTTTGCCCTTTTAGTAAGAAATGATGGCATAGTTTCAACCTCCTCTACATGATCAAAGTCATTCATCCTAGAGCTGTGTTTGTTGATGTTCAGCGTCCTTTTCTACCATCCTCTTTTCCCTTTGTTTCCTTCAATCCAGAGCAGCAGTTTTTTTTTCTGAGTCGCTCCGCCCATGTGAGATTACAAGGAGCTTGTATTTAGCTAGACAGAGTCAATAATGATGCTATTAGCCAG